TCTATGGTTAAAATAAAGGTAAATTTGGTTAAGGTTTAACACACTTAAACATCAACCGTCTTTGAACTATTTTCAATTTTGTGAAATTGCAGTATATTTTAAAGCTTCATTTCTCCAAGGGTATCAAAGTTTTTAATACTAAATATTTACTGAAGTTTATTTATTTTGTCAATATACCCATGGAATATTGACATTTTAAATTGTTTTTAAAGCAGCAAATGTACAAAATGTACAGGTGCTAAAAACGATAATATTACTAGCCCATTGGTATACAAAAAGAAAATTATTTAAATCTTTATAAAAAAGTATACCATAAAGTAAATATACCACCATTATTTCCGCCCAAATATTAATTAATTACATACTTAATTGTGTTAGTTAATAAATTATTCTAAACAAATATGGATTTGAGTTGAAATAAATATAATAATAAGTTATGAAAATGAACGTCTCTGTTGTTATAAATAAGCATTCGTCAAAAAATGAAATACAATTTTTAAGGTTTTACTTCTTACTACACTGTCTAATACACATACAAAATTCAGATTTTTAGTATTTGGATAAATTATTATTAATTAACGTAAACAGTTAATTAAAGTCGTTTGAGTACTGGAATCATATTAATTGCTCTTTAATAATTATTTAAATATTTTTTTTAATAGTATCTGTACTCTTTAAAAATCTGTTACATCTTTAAAAATAATCTAAAATGTCAATATTCCATGGGTATATTGATAAATGAGGTCTAAATTATATGAAAATATTCATTTTCTACGAAAACTTTTTTTTTTCTACGAAGAGATAGTAATGGTAAGAAATGGTAAGAAATGGTATAATACAATTTGGTAGACAATTAAATTGTGCATTTGATTCTTACAAAATATACAGGGTGTTCCAGTTAAATTAAACAAGTTATTGCCTTTTAAAGCTAGAAATTATTTAAAATAATTTTTAGACACTTTCTATAAGGTAGTATATTTTTTATTATTGCAACAAAAAATTTAGTAAATAGGAATACTTCAGTACATATATTTGGTTTTAAAAACTTAAAAACGCCTAGAGAAATAGTAAAGCATTAAAATTATTACTGTACTTTGACAAAAACCTAAATATTTCAAAAACGTCAAGGTTAAAATGCGGTAAACCTTAATCAATTTATCTTTATTTTAGTCGTAGAAACCAAAAATTTAATAATATACAGGGTGTTCTATTTAAAAGAAATACAACTTTGATATGTTTTATTTATTTGGGACACTCTGTATCATGTAAAAATATTTTTAAATTGTAGCCCTAACTTACAATTTGCAAAAATCTAATCGTTTAGCTACAATACTCCGTGTCTTATGTGATAACTACCCTGTATAAAATACTTTATACTTATTTTCATAAACAAGGTAAAAAACGCATTATTCAACTTTTTAACATGGAATAACTAATCGTAGAAACCAAAAATGTAATAATATATGGGGTGCCACCTTTAAAAAATGATATTGCATCCTATTAAAATAATGTTAAGTAGTCATTCAACGACGCCAATGCTTACTAAAAATCGAATTATTTAGCTACAATACTCCGTGTCGAATAACATAAATAACCCTGTATATGAGAAATATTATAATTCTTTCTGATAAAACAACCAGTATAATACCCTCTTATTTTAACACCATCAAATCAGCTGGCAATTTTTTTATCTTACAAACTCCACTAATTTGGTTTTTAATGAGACAAAAACAAAAAAAGCTAAGCGAAAAATACAAATTGGTCGGCCTATATTTACCATCCCGCTTGTTTCACCCTACCAGGACATCCTGGCATCGATCTTGCCATATCCAGATTTAAAATATCCAACTCAGCGGCTATCCGTATCGAACTGCCCTTTCTCCTGTACCTCGGATGGGAGAATTTATCGGAGATCTATGTGTAGATCTCCATTCTCAGTGGTCTAGTTTGCTGGCTAGTTTTCACTGTATTGTAATAAGCGTGTTTTTCTATTTTTTCTTTTATGTACATTGGAATATTAAAATAGTGCAAAAATTATCGATTTAGGTATTTTTGAGAAACGTTTAGTTAAAAGTTACAGTGATGGATAGTGTGGGGTTCCAATTGGAGACTTGGGTGCTGTATATCTACGACTTCTTGTACGTTTATACTTTATTTTTATTTAACTAATTTATTACTCTTCTTTTTATGACACAACTCAATTGCACTAAGATAAATAATCAAATTAGTACATTATTCTCTTACAATTATGGTGCCGAGCCATTATAATTATCATAAGAACATCAAGATTATTTATGAAAGGGAGATTTTCACAAATCTAAGATTTGTCAGCATTCATGGGACACAGGGCACAGAATAAATTTTAATAACGCCAAAATTATAATGAAAGAAGCGATAGCCTCTAAAAGAAAAATAAAAGAGGCTATTTTAATACAATCTAATAAAAGTAAATGTATTGCTCATGCATCTGTAGATGTTAGTAATGTATGGCAATCGCTTTTTTGATTTTAAAGAACATAACATAAATAAACATACCATACGTAAAAATTAAAAATAATCATACAGAAAGTTTGGGGCTTTTTGGTTTTACCTTATTAATCTAATTGTTATCAGGTAGTAATTGTTAATTTTGTTAGTTTAACTTGATATAATGTCATTTTAACAGAACGTCAACGGTTTTTGTAGACGTATCTGTTTTAAAAAAGTAAGGTGTTCTCGAATAGTTGAATTTAAATATTTTAAATAGTTTTTTTCTTTATTCTTTGAATTTTTTTAAGACGGAAAAAGATAAACTTTCCGAAACCGTCAAGCATTTTTTTGTTCGTTAGGCAAATTTGTATATCTTTAAACCTAACTTCTGACAAGTAGTTTCCGTTTGGGATTAACGCAGAAGTGTTTACATAAAATAACTATTTTATTTCGTAGATTTTCTTGCAGTGGCGAAATACCCATATAGGATTTTTTTGTAAAGATGTCTAATTTTGATACGGTATCTATAAATTGTGATAGGTAATTGATATTGAATAACAATTTATAACAAAGTTATCGAACAGGTGCTTCCATAACAAATAACTGACTTGGTTTTATGGAAGATCGCAAGACTTGACATTTTTTTGCATTTTATGATTTTGACGGGATCTGTAGAAGACTTTAAAAACATTAATGACGGACGGATTCAATTCATTATATTTAAGTAAAACATAATATTTATATAAAGAATGTGTAGTAAACAGAACAGTTCTTCAGAGAAAAAAATAATTAACAACAATTATAGGAAATTATATTTACTTTACCCTGAAAAAGTTGATATTTTTGACGTTATGAACAAAAAACCGCAAAAAATCCAGATTTTTTTTTTAATTTTTTTGCATTTTTCTCCATGATTCATCACGAAATTTTGTTGGCAAACCTTAGATGCTAATTCAGCACCGCAAAACACGTAATTAACGGAAGAAATTCGAACTACCCCAAAACTTTCCTCCAAAAAGCTTTTTTGAGTTTTTTAAGAATTTGACAATTATTTGACTAGACTATCAGAGTCAGATTTTTGTGGTTCTTTAGCTTTTTTCGTTTTCCTGTTATTACCGATTCTGAACCGTCCTAGAATTGTGATGCGTATGCGCAGAAGGAAATATGAAGACATTATTTCATTTGCGCATGCGCTGGAGAGTTCTAGGACGATTCAGAATCGATAATAACAGGAAAACGAACAGACCTTTTGTTGAAATACAAATTACTGAATCGAGGAATGTCATTTTCCTTTCAAATATTAGTTATAATTTCATAACGCCGCCGTTATAACAAAATAGATACTGTAGAAAGAGCCGTTATAAATTACTTAGTAAATTTGTGCCTTTAAGTTATATTTTACTTTAGTTATTATTTTACTTTCCTTCCTCCTACTAACTAAATAAATAATATACTATTTTCTGAAGATCTCTGAACATCTTTTTAAAGAAACCTCAGTTAGGTAGACCCCAAGGTTGGATGTACGCACATTTATAAAGTCATGATAGTGTCATCAAAAAATAATTTCCTTCATGTTAGTATGAACAGTAAAAACTTTAAGGTATCTATAGGAAATAAGGCACAAAATTCATACATACTGTACTTATGACGCCAATCTGAGATAAATAAGAGTTTTGTTATCTGTATTGACATTGACATATTTTTTTCGATTTTCATTAAATTTCTCTTAACCTTGACAATTTGTGAAAAGTGGGTAATTTTAAGTTCTTATTTTATTTATGTGCGTTATCTAAATTTGAAGAGGCTGTTGAATCAATTGATGTTAGTCGAGCATCTAGTGGTTTTATTTATGTATGTAAATGTTTTTATTTTTTGATTTTTTGTGTAGTAGTATTGGATACTATGTTAAGATAGTTTACGGAGGGATGGAAATTTTAAAAGTTATTCATGTTGTAGTAAATTAAATAATAATAATAATAAAAACACTATTTCTTAATTATCACAAAAGGCAGCAGTATTTGATGCGAATCATTTTTTAAATTAATCTGTAGAATCAAACATATCATAAAGAACATGTTTTCATATTCTGGTAGTTGGTATTACTATAAATTTTGTTTTTTAAGAATGTCCATAATAATTTAAATTAATGATGATTAATTTGGCAAAGAAAACTCTCTCAATATTATGCTTTAAATTTACAGTAATTCTGACCATAGAAAGTCATAGATTTCTTTGGTTAAATAAAGTATTAATATGTTATTATTGATTGATAAACATCCTAATGAAAAAAAAAACGTTTATTCCAAGTTACTTTTTTCAATATAGTCTGTCCAACTAGTCAAGGAAGATCGACAGACGACATCCAAAAAATGACAGGTAAAACAGGTAAAACTGTCACTATCATAGATTTTCTCGCTGGACAGACTATACTTACAATTTCAATAAGTATGAACAAAAATTTTGGTGCAATATGTTTTGAACTGCAGTGTGTTTCATGTTTTTTTTATATATCTTTTTTTGTTTCTTTTCAGGAGAAAATGGTTACCGCCACCTTTACGTAAACTCTCCCAAGGAAAAGTCGACAAAACACAGGGTCCTCTCGATTCCAAGCCGCCTTTGAAGAAGACTGGCTCAGATAAACGAATCAAGGTAAGTGCTATGTCATCATTCTCTATTATTTTAGAACTCAAAAGATCGTATTTTTTGTGTTTCTTTAATATCAAAGTTTTCAAAGCAATGTATTCTGAATTCAATCTAATGAGAAAGTAAAGCAAAAGTAAAGTCATATTTTACTTAAAATTATAATAAAAAAAACTATAATGTACAAGGTGTGCCAAATTGGACGCTTTTAAAGGATAACATCGAGGGTAACATCCTTTACTATAGGAGATAGACGAAAACTAATATCGGTGTCTGGAGCTCAACTTTGAATAAGTAGGCTTTGGACGGCGCCGGCTGTAATGCAAAAAAAATTCTAGCTGTGAACAGCAATTAAAACGAAAATAATACTTGCAATGAGAGATGCAGAATTTTCTAACAATTTAAACTATAACAACATCAACACATTTAAACTATATCTATAATAATTATAATAAAAATAAATAGCAAACCAAGAAATGAGATTTTACTACGTGTTCGATATGTCGACCGTCTTCTGTTATGGATAGACGGGACCGTTTTTGAACATTTCTCGAGGGATTCATTAACCCAGTAGGGGTGAAAGATACCCTTGCATAACCGCTTAGTACTTATATTTTTTGTCTAGATTATACTGGCAATTTAAAAATAAGAACATTTATTCTTCCGCAAAGTTAAAAATCCATAGGCGCTAAATTCGGCGGCCTCGGTGGCCAACGGCTGGGATCTTGGACAGCTCAATTATTCTCGAAATTGGCTGCAAAAATTTGCTGATAACTTCAGCGTTCTGAGACCTCGTCTTGCTGGAAAAAATATGTTTTCGAGTTTCATTAGGGGCAGATCATCAATATGGGGTCCAAAGCCTACTAGTTTAAAGTTTTAAAAATTCTGTATTTCGAAGGGGACTATGACAAAATATTAAGTATGTTATATTTTTGGAATGGTAATTTTAATTCATTTGCAGTTAATTAAAAATATACAGAGTGTCCCAAATAATTTTTTTTGTTGATAACTCTTAAATTATTAATTCTAAAAAAAATATACTTAAACCATTAAATTCGGCGTAAAAAGGTGCATGGGAAATGGGTTTTCATAAAAATACAAGATTTTCCATAGCAAATAAGTTACAGCGATTTGTTAAAAATGCACATTTTTGAAAAACAACCCGTAACTCCAAAACGGTAACAGATATCGATGTGCGGGTTTCACTATCATGTTTTTGATAAAAATTGAGCTCCAGACACTGATATTACTTTCCGTCTATCTTCTATAGAAAATGGCGTTTCCCTTTAAAAGCGTCTAATTTGACCCACCCTGTACTTTATCTGTAATACTCATATGCATAGTGATGTGTGATATGTGATTATATAGAGTATAATAGATGTTTATTGTAATATTGTACTACATTTTTCATATATCTATTATTTGTTCATCTAAACTTGAATCATTTTCCGCGAAATAGATAAACAGGAACCGTTCGTACTGGTTACTAATCCGCAAAATATTAAAGTTTGTCTAGGAAGAAAAATGGGATTCGGGCACGTACACAATACAGAACGTACATTTAAAACGACCGAATGTTTATAAATGCGATTCGACGATCCCGTAAATATTTAGAGATTCTATGCCGAAATGTGCTGTTATATAAACGTAAAAATTACTCTCGACTTTCTCGATGATTTGCGTGTTTAAATTAATGTTCGATTAATAGTAAATTACCGATTTATTATAGCGAAAAAGCTTTTTAAGTAAATTTAGAGAATTTTATCGTCACAGATCTCTATGTGCATAAAATAAAAATGCACAATTGGTTTAATATAATTTGTATAGTCGTCAACAAAAATAATTCATATTCCTATATAAATTGGTATATTGTTTTATTAGGAGTAAAATGATACTTGTTGTGGCGGGGTTGTACGGGTTGCGCGGTTGTTACAGGCGAGGAAAAAATAGTATATTGTTTTATTATAAATAAAAATGATACTTTTCGTGATGAGGCTGTACGTTTAAAAAGTCATTTTTACTCCGAATACATGCCATTTATTTTCAATCAAATCATTTTCGAAACAATTTTAAACGTTCCAAATAATATAAAAAACGCTTGAAAGTAATACCATTAACTGTAAGAATTGGGAAGATATGCAACCTAATGGGCAAATTCGTGTCAAGGCTGATTTGATTTCCATTTACATCTCAAGTGCTGTACGGTGGAGCCACGGCTCGTTCTGCGACCAACGCATAAAACACTCATTTTGTCTAATTTGCAATGACTAAAGAATACCAGGACAAATAACACACGAGACCAAACTGTGACCGTTCTTCCAAACAGTGCCGTGGCACATATTTTTCTTAACATAGCCGCTTGAAGCGATATTTATATTTTTGATAAATCTTTTTACTACGCCTATGATGTATCCGGTCGTATCATACTAATTAATTACGAAAAAAAAAAACGTATTAAAATGTTAACAAAAGGTACAAAACTAGTATCGACGTATAGCAAATATCAAGTACATATAATATCAGAAAAATAAGTATCAAATTCAATAAAAAAAAACACGGAGTGGATTGTTTATTTCCCTATAAAACGTAACTCCTGGCTCTTTCTTATCATTGTGCCTTTTACACTTGAAAGCTGAACAAATTACCATTGTAATAGAGTTTATACAAAGTTCACTAACACAACCAACTTTTTAAAATCGCTAAAATTGTCGCTGATGACCAGCTGATGATTCATTCGTTGCTTCCAAAGAAATGGCGTCTAAGGTCACAAATTCTGCTGCAGCCCGATATGGGCGTTACGTGTCCTTGTATTCTTTACTCATTGCTAATTCGGCTAGCGAAGGCATATCGAAGACGGTGTGGAACTGATGTGTAATATAAAGAAAATATCTTTGGATGAAAAATCCGCCTTTATGTATTAAAAATTTATTCGTGTTAAGCATAGAATAAAGAACAAACATATAAATTCTTTTATAGGTACTGAATATTTCGTTAGATCGGAAAAAGTCGATTAGTTGGCTTGGAAATGACAACCTTTGACATTTACCATAATATTTTACATATGAAGTAACAGAGATCTTCATTTCCATGCCAACTCTGACGCCGTTCTTTGTTTAATGATATAATATTATATTAAACTAGATGAAGCCTGGCGCATCCGCCACGACATCAGGGAAAAAATACTTTTTATTTTTTTTTTAATTAAATGAAAAACAAAAAATCCGGCGACGACAGTTTTTAGAAGAGCCAATTAGCTATCTTTTAGTAAAAAAGCAACTTTCTAGAGCAAGTCGTTACTTCAGTAGAGACGACACAGATAAACATTAGCATTTTATATATGTAGATTGTTGCTAAATCCGTAAATCTACGGATTAATCCGTAATTCTGGCAACACTGTCTCCCACTCTGTCGACTGAAAGCAGAACTACGGTATAGTATTCTTTATCCGCTGCGCTGTAAACGACCCTGCGCGCAGCGGCGCAGAGCTAAACTACATCTCGGACAGGCTGACGGTATCGCTAGCTACATCTCGGACAAGTTTTGTGCCACGAAATCGCCGATAAGGTTGCGCATCTTCTTATTTCTTCAATCAACGGTAATACCTTGTAAGTAATTATGTATCTAGAAATTATATGGTTACGCTCGTTGAATTTGACACTTTATGTCAGTTTAATAATATATTTTCGTACTTTTATGCTTAGGTGTTAAGGCTGATTCATGGTACACCGGGCCGTACCCGAGCCGGGCACGTTCCGTAAAGTAGACACCGAGCCACGTCCGGGCCTTCAATATATGCTACACCGAGTGGACAACGGGGATCATGTCCGTGCCGATTATATTCTAGAAAACAGTGTTGCCGCAGTGGTACATTTGTACCAAATTTGATACTTTTAATTCTATTTGGTACAGTGGTACTACATTTTCAAATCCAGGATAATTTGGTACAATAATTATTTCCCACGCGCACCGAAAATGAATAGATATTTAATAATTATTGTCGTTGATATTGCATTAAACGCGCTTACCGATACCATTCGGAGATAATCCGCATTAATTAACGACGTATTATAAACGTTGTAATGTCCATAGCGTTGCCTATATTAAATAACCCAAAGAAAAAACTTGAAAATTTACTGTTTCTAACATGCTTCGTTATTTGCGTTTTTTTTTAATAAAATTTAAGTTTTCCAAGTATTGTGTGTAGTATTAGAATTACTTAGATTTCTTCAACCTATACATACTTATAATTGGGTTTTCTGAATTTCTATTTCATATTTTTCGTCTCGATTTGTGTCTTTCTCCAGGAAGTTTTTTTATGTAGAAATTTATGAAGAAATTCACAGCGACCAAACCGGTTAAAGTCATTTGCAGATGTATTTGTTGTGCTTTAAAAAATTGTACCAAAGTGGTACATTTTTAGTTTATAATGTGGTACGCGCTAAAAGTTGGGTGCGGCAACACTGCTAGAAAACAGTCGCTATAGGCCCGTAGACGAACGAAGTATTTAGCCCGGGCGACTCATTTATGTTTGCCGCAACGGGGCCGGACCGTAGCGGATCCGAGGAAAAATGTACACCGACATCTCTCGGACGGGGCACGGACGCGTTCCGGCGAAGCTCGGCCCGTGCTCGGCTTAGCATGAATGCATAAGTAAAAATTTGACAATGTTTGGCCGTGCCTTCACCGTCGCACGGCCCCGGCCCGTCACGGTGTACCATGAATCAGCCTTTAAAATGATATTTTCATATAATCAATCAAGGAGCCTTGGAAAGATACATGTAACAGTCGAACGTTTTTCGTGACCATTCCCGGCCACTTAAAAAATGCTACAATCGTATTTTTAATCATAATTCAATTTAAGTCAACGGATTTTTTTTATTTTAATCATAGATTTAAATAAAAAATCCACTGGTTTAAAAACTTTAGATAAAAAAACGAGATTTGGTATGTTAGTTGACATAAATTAGGATTGATTGACGTATTCAATTATTTTTGGTCACTTCCTGTTT